CGATCGATCACTGCTCTTCACAGAGGGGACTCACAGTCACAACTCTGGGGGTGTCCGGGGAATCATTTATGCAAGCATTTACCGACTTCCTTCAATGGGCCTGACACTGCCGATATACAAAGACAAATCAGTGTTCTTCTGGACCTCCACACGCCATGCTACCGTGCCGGAGGTGCAATACTGTATTCATAGAGATTTATTTTGTGCAAAACCAATGGAATGTTACAGTGAAGACGTAAAACCTCTGGTCTGGATGGTAACATAAGAGGGTGGGGGTGGAGGGAGATTAAAGTTTACTTTGCCCAGGTTATACAAATTCTAGCCCTGTCCATGACACGATTCTCAGGTTATTTATACACACACACACACACACACACACACACACAATCTTGGAAACCATAGGGAAGGATGTTGTCAGAGGACATTCAAATGGAAGAGGTAATGAGTATATGACAGGGACTTAGTGAAGATTACAATGTGGTGATTGACTCAAACCTGACATACTATAGGATCTTCTTAATGATATCCACGGACCAAAAAAAAGATCAAATGAACCATGTTTATGTCCAGACTATGAAAGCCTATTAAGTTAATCATCAGCACATATCGCGGGGATAGCCACTCTAAGTGGACATAAGTAGGGACCAGAACTGAAGAAAGTGGTTTGGATTGCTTCTTATGAATTACAGAGTTCTGAACGACCTCAAAATACTGACATATAAAATTCCCTCATTTCAACACCACTTTTATTCCTATTGCAAAGTAGAGTGCTGGGCTTCAAGTCAGTTAAGACCTGCATTGGAATCCTGTATTATCTGTGAGATCAAGGTAAGGGCATTAATTTCATTTTTATCTCATGCATCTCTCTAGGGCCACTAAATCATATACAGATTGCTTTTGTGAGTGGAGGGAGATCTCACCTTCCCTGAATACTAACGAAATCTCAAGTCTGTCCCCCAAAACCAAACCCATTCTTCGCTGGGGAAATGGTCAAAAGACACAAGTAGACCACTTGGAAAGAATCACAGTTTTGGAGAAGGAATTTCAGAGGTTGTAATCAAAACCCTTCATTTGACAGATGAGGGAACTGAGATCCAGAAAAGTTAGGGGACTTTTCCAAGGACACCAATATTACAGTTAAATAAGAGGATTTAAACCTATGTCTGACTCCAAATTCAGCACACTACACATTAATAACCACTTAAATTGCTCAAGATCTCTCAGAACTGAAATGCATTTCTTACAAAATTAAGCAACTCCTAAAGATAAAAAGTCAATGTTCAGCTTTTTTGTTAAGAGCAATGTGTAAAAACTGACCTTTGACCCCACCATCCCTCCTACCAGGATTAGGTCTTAACTGTTTTTAGAAGTAGTCTATAAACTCCTTGAGCACATAAGGACTGTGTAATCTTTTCACATCTCTAGAGCCTAGTAGTCTTTGCACAGAGATGGAAAAGAATTACATATTCACTGCCTTACTTTTCATGAGAAACATAAAACGTTATTTCCAACCCCTGGAAAATGGCTGGATAAATTGTGGTATTCCATGGATTATTGCCTTGTTAAAAAAAAAACATATAAAAGTGAAGTAAAGCAAACTATGAGTAGGGAAAAAAAGTTTTTAAGTCTCGACATGTGATAGTTGATCTGGATGGAACATATCTGACTCTATATGGTGATTTTTATGTTGAGACCACAGGTGTGATGTTTGTTAAGCCTAATGTAACTGGCTCTCACTGAAGCCAATTTCAATAAAGGGTAATTGAGTCACAAATACATGTGACTTTATGATCACAAGTGTAAGTGAAAACGTTTTGGTTCTACATGTAATGCTTGGATTACTTTTAGCATATCAACTAAAAATTCAAAACCACTTGAGGAAAACAATGTTCAAATTACAACTTGATAACCCATATCCAGTTGCTTGTCACCTCAATGAGGGTGGGTGGGGAGGGAGAGAATTTGGAACCCAAAGTTTTAAAAACTAATGTTAAAAATTGTTTTCACATGCAACTGGGAAATGAGATATACAGACAATGGGGTATAGAAATCTACCCTGCCCTACAGGAAAACAAAAGAGGAAGGGGATAAGAGAAGGGGAAGGGTGGTGATGAGGGCAGATTAGGAGAATGGGTATTCAAAATGCATGCCTTCTTGGGGTGATGGGGTTGGGGGGAAGAGGCAAGATGGGGAGAAAATTTGGAACTCAAAATCTTGTGGAAATGAATGTAGAAAACTAAAAATAAAAAAATTACAACTTGAATCAATCTGAAGTGCACTAGAGAAAAATCAGTTTTAAAAAACAACTAGCAAACTGACTTAAATTTGATTAAATTTTTTATGCTAGTTTATAAGCTCTATGAGGACTTTCTGCCCTCAAAGAGTTTCTTTTAAAAACTTTTGAGAAATCAAAAGGAATTATGTTGCCAAATCACAAATATTTCACAGCCATCATTTAGGGAAGCAACAATCTTCTGTTACCCACCACCTGTCACACACAGATAAACCAGCCTAGCAAGCCTTAAAGCAGCCTCCAGCAGAAACAAGAAACAATCTGGGCCAGGAATATCAAACCACCATCACCTTTTCCCTTCAGACCCTGATGCTGACAACCCTAGACTCTGAATGCAGGAGCCTTGGAAATAGCAATGCTTCCAGGTTAAGTCCCTCACTCTAAGCCAACATCCTGAGAAGCAACTTCTGTATACATATAGCTTAGCAACAGCATTCTTACAGGTGCTACTTGCAGATGAAAAATCTTGTCTCATCTCTCCCATTAGAATGGGAGCTCCTTCAAAGCAGATAAAAAACAAACATACAAGTGATAAAAGAAATTGGAAGCCAAGAGCACCAACTATATAACACCACAAATGAAAATGACTAAGAAGACAACTGACTTTAAGAGCAAAAGTCTACCTTTCCTTCCTGGACAAGAGAACTATGATGGGTTTGTTGAGTTGTTGAGACTCTTGAAAGTACCCAAACTGGCTTTTTCAGTCTCTCGCTAGTCATATATTTTCTCCTATTTTCCAACATAAAAACGTCAATTATCTTTTGGCTTATATTCCCTCTACAAAAGCTCATTAGTTTACAAAGAAGTCATGAAAACTGACAGCTTCTGATGGCATCCAAACAGGGAAACATCATGTTTACCCAGCAAAGTACTAAGATGTCCTTAAATTAGGCAAAGTTTCAAGTTTTGAGTAGAGAACATTGCTTAAAAACATTTCACATTTTGGGAGATTTCAGAACACTAGAATTAAGTCATTTAGTAAGAAGGAAAAGCTATAGATTAATACTTTTAGTTAGCACTGAATCAATCCTTTTTGTAAAAGCAAATTGCTCAGAATTGCTATACTCAATTCTTAAAACGTTCCACTTATAACAATCATTCCCTGAAATGATCTTTTGTCCAATGCTTGAAATATCAGTTTAACAAAAGGGGAAAAACTTAGTCAACTGCTATAGGCTCAACTACAAATCCCTTTTCCAAAAAGAAACAACTCACCACATATGCATGTAATACTCATGATGGTTCATGATTTTTGTGTAGAGAATTCTCTTCCTACAAAGCAGCAGTTACAGTCCGTAACTCAAGAAGACTTAGAATGATTGTTAAGTTTTGTATTCTCTGATCAGTCAGAATAGAGTACAACTAGTGGTAGCAGCTGCTTTAAGTTTCATTCTAATAAAATTCACCAGGCTCATTTAGGACAATTAAGAACAAGTGACCGGATGTTAAGCAGTGGTTCCTACCATGTTCCATTAATAGAACTGAGCACCTCCAGTTCTGCCCAGAACCACCTAAAGAAAACATTCTATTACTCCTATGACAAATTTTAAGCACCTTCCTTTAAATATCTAAGTCAAGACAGTCCTGGTTAAATTTTTGTTTATTTTGAAAATTTGTCTATGGGAAACCAAAGTTAAAAAAAAAACCAAACATGGTCCAAATTAACACAAGACCCAGTCTATGACACACCATTTTTGGGACCTTGGACAAATCACAACAAACTCCTAAAACTAAGTTAAATTGCAGACCTGAATTATACTGAATTTACAAGTCAGGACTTTTTCCAGCATCCAAACCACCATCTCCTCCCCCCATCTCTCCAATTATGACTTTTTAGTTAAGAGAATTTCTATTGGCTAGTATTTAAATTCTCATCTCTCCTGGACAGAATTACTCAATTTTACCTACTCCAAATCTTCAATTCTACAAGGAATTACTTATGCCGACAATAATTTGATCCAAAGACATCAAACAAAATTTAATAGTTGCAATCAATTTATTAAAAGAGATGATTGGTTAGGCATCTGCAATGGTGACTTCAACTTCTACACCTGGTTCAATGCTGATAGAAGTGATCTGTTTAACAATTTCGGAAGGACTGTGCAAATCAATAAGGCGTTTGTGGATTCTCATCTGGAACCGATCCCAAGTCTTTGAACCTTCACCACAAGGAGTTTTCCTAGTTGTGATTCGAAGTGTCTAAAATGGGAGAAATGGCAAACCAAACTTATAAGTTATATTTAATTATGAATGCAATAAAATTTTGGTCACCTACCAACATTTTACATACATATCAAGTATTCTTTTCAGCAATCAACCATTCTTATTTTTTTTTGGTATATGATTGAAGACTTTAAAAAAAAAAAGGGCTCCGAGGAGCATTCTTGCTGCATTTCTCCATTAAGTTACACTGACTCTCACAAACCAACCATATTAGACTGCACTGGCAGCCTCAAATCCCTTAACCCAGCTCCTACTTTGACCTTAAGACTCTGATTCAAACACTGAACCAAACCAAGGGCTCTCACCCTGGCTTTTCATACCTTAGTGGGCATTCGAACAGGTCCCTTCACTTTCAAGTTCTTTTCTTTGGCTCCTCTAATTAGGTCAGCACACACTAAAAGGAAAAAAAAGGGGCGTTCGTTCAGTTCATTCACAGGGATCTAGAGTAACCCTAAAAGTAACTATCCAAGACAGCCCTTCTCAGAGTTAGCTCAGAATAGCGTATAAAACAATCACCGAAATTCAACTACTCAAAGTTTGTCATCATCGCCAACTTTTCCGAAAGCTCAAGTCGGCCCGTGGTCACCGACCCGCCCCTGCCCGCCCTCCTGGGACTTTTCCGGGCCCGAAGATGCTCCAGGCCTTCGCTCATTTCGGGGCGCTGACATCGCAGGCCACACCGGTGATCTCGGGGCCCCGTCCCCCCACTCTCACCCCATCCACGCTTACCTTTCTCGAGAGACTTCACGTTGCGGCTGGTGAGGGTGATCCGGATCCGGTGAATGGCCACTTCGGGCTCCACGAGGGTCTTGCCGGTGTCTTTGAATGCCTGCGAAGGAAGGAGGCCATTAAGGAGGAGCGGAGGGAGGGGGGGATGCGAAAATGCAGCCCCAAAGGACGCCAACTACAAGGAGATGCCCGACTTAACGAGGACGGAAAGGGACACATTCCCGGGAGCGCGCGTGGGCCTCTCCGCGAGGGAGCGTCACATGGGACACGCCCAGACCCACGCGGCTCTTCCCTCCGGCCTCGGCCGCGGCAGCGCCGGCCTCGCGCCACAGCCAGCTCGGGCCCGGCGCGCGCGAGACCCCGCCAGCTCCCCAGCCCTTCCCGCCGTCCTCACCATGGCAGTGGAGCGGCTTCCTGACCGACTTATTCCTCGGTGAGAGCGAACAGCGGTGAGTCAGGAGAAGAGGCAGCGACTGCCGGCTGCGCGCGGCTGCAGCGGCGATAGCTTCACCAAAGAGGAAAGGGCGGGGCTGGGGCGGCGCTTTTATAGCCATGGCAGCGTCCTGGCGCTGCGCGCGCTTTGTGCGCATGACCCGGAAGAGGAAGTTATAGGCGCCGGGAGCCAACGAGAGCTGTTGGGCTTGTGGATGGAAGGAGGGAGGTGAATGAAAAGAAGAGCGTCCTCCGCGCTGCAGTGACCCCTGTCGCTGTGGCGGAGTGGGCGCTTATCTTTCCGGGCTGTGGGCTCGGGGCGCAGAAGGTGTCGTGACCGCGATATATCGCCTCTTTTCAATTCCCTCCAACGTGTGCACTTGTAGGAAGCCAAGGGGTTGCAATAGACATTATTAGGAAGTTACAAAGGGAAAGCGAACCTCTGCTAAGCAAGACAACTTTGTAGCCGAACCACATATGCTGCCTCCGCCCGTCCCCTTCTACCCCCCACCATTCAGAAAAGCACCAGCCTTTGCTTGTTGTCAATAAGACCCCCAGAGTTCATTCAAAGCGTGGTTTGAAGAAGCTGTGGGAGGGTGGGGATAATGTGAGATGGCTAGTTTGGAGAGGGCCTTGAATGTCAAGAAAAAGGTGTTTGAACTTGACTAGGTGGCAGTAAAGAACCATTGAAAGACATTGGGCAGATGTGTATGTCAGAAAGGGTGTGCAAAGGGTGTTTTTTGTTTTGTCTTGTTTTGTTTTATGGTGGGGGGGGTGTAGGTTAGAGGTAGGAAGAACCATAAGGGGGCAAGTTCGATATGGGAGGGAGGGGGGTGATCAATAAGAGCCTATATTAAGAGGGTGGTAATAGGAATAGAGAGGAGGGGGCCAGGATCCCCCTGGAGGGGGGGATCGTGGAGGGGCAGCAATTGTAGAGAAGCAATTGGGAGTGGTGAAGATAAGGTGCTGGGCGCCTGCCTTTGACACAGGTCACAATGTTTCTGTGCCAATGTTCTCATCTGTAAAATAGGATCAAACTACCTGTGGTACCTGCATCACTGGATTGTTTAAGGCTCCCGAGATAGAAAGAAAGAAGAAAGGAAGGAAGGAAGGAAGAGGGAAAGAAAGAAAGCACACTTCTAAATTTCCAGAAACACATAATAAAAACGGTACCAAAGTTTTCGTGGTTCAAGTTTTCAAAAGTTAATGTGGTCCTGATGACAGCCATCTGCTGGTGCATTGTTGCAATGACAGTGTCATCCTATCAGTTTTGAAAGGAAATATAATAAATTTATATATACATACATATATTTGCATATATATAACATATACATATTATATATTCATATAACATGAAACATGAAAATGTGCATGTCTGTGGACAAAAGTTAAATGAAAAGTAAGTTGCAATGCATTTTTCAGGCATTTTGTTTATAAAAGATGTGGTTGATATTTGTAACTTAAAGAAAACCTAGGAAATGTTCTCTCCCAGCTAAGCAAAAAAGGTAGCCAGGGGCAAAATGAAGTGGAAAATTATCCCTATCTGGATTTGTCTAGGATATTCAGTAAAATCCTACTCTAAATGTCCATGACAAAAGAGTTCTTTAAAACAAAACTATTTTTTTTTTTTGGCTAGGCAATGGGGTTAAGTGACTTGCCCAGGGTCACACAGCTAGTAAGTGTTATATGTCTGAGGTCGGATTTCAACTCAAGTCCTCCTGAATCCAGGGCCGGTACTCTATCCACTATGCCATCTAGCTGCCCCAAAACTATTTCTTTATCAAGTGAATGGACAAAAATAAATAGTGCAAAGAGCTGGACACAGAGTCAGGAAAAAACTTGGGTTCAGATCTTAGTTCTGGCAATGTGTGACCATGGGCAAGTTTCACATCTCAGAATTGGTAAGGAACTCAAAAACCCCTTAGTTGAACAGAATAAGTCTAATCTGTCTTCCACATGAGAACCAGTTTATTTTGGCTTCTAATACTTCTCTTCTGTATGTATAGTCATCCCAAGTTCTAGCCAGTCTGCATGTCATGGTCTCAGGGCCCCTCATCATTTTGATTACTGTTTTCTGTATTTTCTAAAATGTAGCACCCAGAACCGAACACATACACCAGCAGTGGTCTGACCAAGGCATAGTATAGTCTCACAATCACCTCCTATGCTCTGGACGACTTACCTTTCAATGAAGCTGTTTTGGGTAGGATGTCACATTGTGGGCTGACCTGTAGATCTTTTTTTTTTTTTTTTGCTTTCCTATAGCACAGTGGTTCTCAAACTTTCTAGTCTCAGGACTCTTTTACGCTTAAAAATTATTGAGGACTCCCTCCCATTAGCTTTTGTTTATGTGAATTATATCTATTCATATATATCTTATTAGAAATTAAAATGTCTTAGTATTATTATAAAAAGTTTTGACCTCATGGACTCTCTGAAAGCATATAACGAATCCCTAGCAGTTCATGGACCAACTTTGAGAATTGCTAGACAACATCCCAAATAAGAGAATAGTATCATCAGTGGCGGTCCAGCCACCCAATCCAACAAACATTAAGCATGTGCTATGCTTCAGGCCTTAAGCATATAAAAAGGGGAAAAAACAGTCACTGCCCTCGGAGTTTACATTCTACAGAGGACAATATAACATGTAAAGATATATATGTGTGTGTGTATGTGTAGGTATGTATACATACATATGTAAATATATCTATGTAGATAGATATAGGTACATATATAGATATGCATGCATACAATACATACATTTATCTCTCTCTGTGTAATACTTTCAGGAGAAAGAGCACTAAGAAGGAGATTCAGGAAAAGGCACATGAACTGATCCTCAAAAGAATCTAGGGATTCTCAGAGGCAGAAGTAAGGGTAGAAAACATTCCAGGTATGAAGGAAAGCATGGTGGAAAGGTATGAAGTACCAACTTCAGAGAGCCGTGAGCAGGCCAGTATTGGCAGAAGGTAGAGTTCATGAAGGAGGTGTTTAATAAGGCTGGAAAGGTAGAATGAAACCAAATTGTCAAAGGGCTTTAAGTGCCAAGTTGAGGAGGATAAATCTGTGATTTAAAATTTGTTAATCCACAAAGAAGACTCTGTAAGTAGTCAGTTACCACTTTGAATAAATGCATACTTTAATTGCCCCAGACTTGAAAAGAATCTATTTTATCTATCTGCAAAAATATTTATTTTTATAGCCAAAACTACTCTGAGCCTCAGTTTATTTACCTGTAAAATGGAAATAATAATACCTGTAGGACCTATCTCATAGAGTTTTGAGGATCAGAGGAATGTAAATCTTAAAATACCAGAAAAATAGTGATTACTTATTGATCTGATTTGTAGGTTACAGGAAAGTGTAAACTCTTAGCCATACATCAAGATGATTCAAAACTGTTTAGAAGTTGTTACAGGGCCAAGGATTGGACTTTGATTTCATTGTCATAGGGAACTCTGCAGATCAGCTCATTCTCTGCACCTTATATTCTTGATAAATTTCTTAGGGCCCTGAGAAATTATATGATTTGCTCAAGATCAGAGAGCCAATATTTCTTAGAGGCTGGACTTGAACCCAGGCTTTCCTACTCTCCGTACCCTATCCATATTGCAACACAATGTAACTATAGAAATAATCCTATTCAATGATCCCCTTAAAATAAATATCAGAAGATTCATGAAATAGGGAGCTATATTCTGGCCAAACTTATTCACCCCTGTGATGGAGGAAGATAGTCCAGGTAGAAGGTGTAGTCCTCCAGATACTCTTGCTTTCAGATGACATAACGATCATTGTGTCAAACTCCAGAACACTATAGAGCCTCCTAGTAGAGCTATGTAATCATTGCAAAGAATTTGGCTTGGAGAGACTAAGCAGATAAAATATTTCTGTTATCCAGATTTGAACATCCATTTGGATTCGTGTTTCTCTGAATCAATCCCTTTCTGTTATTTCTAATGGCATGATACTATCTCTTTACATTCATAAATCATAATTTATTCAATCCTTCCTCAATTGAGGGGCACCCCTTTCCTTTCCAGTTCTTTTCTACGACAAAATGAGCAGCTCTAAGTGTCTTTGTACATATGAGTCTTGTCCTGGTAGTGATTCCACATCTGGAGCAATGGATCACTCAGAGCCAGAGGGTTCAGAGAAACAACCCCTTTCTTAAAAAACATTTTGTGAAAGGATTCTGGAAGATGGCAGAATAAGAAAGGACATACCAGGCTCTCCAAATTTCTCCTACAAACAGGAAAAAAAAATTGGCCTCAGCAGCAGTAATAATGAAAAATTGTAGTAAAGCAGTTATTCTTCTAAGAACCTGAGAGGACTTCAGGAAAGACTGCACCTCTAGGGGTGGAGGTTTGGCCCAAGTGAAGTACAAA